CCTGCTGAAGAAAACTTTGTAAGTTTTTACTGGGGAGATGTAAATGGTTGTAGTAAAATCCAGGTTCTGTGTTTGACCAACAAACTGTAGGATTTGCTTGTGCAGCTTAAACTAGGGGCGTGCTCTGTACTAGTGTGCAAGTGTGCTGGTAGTATTGGCACTTCATAAACTAGTTTGGATGCAGAAAATTCCTAGTAACTATTCTCCTAGCTGAAGACCCAAGCATACTGTACTGCTAAAATATCACAATGAGGGCTGACTGCCTCAGGTCCTTGGTAACCGAGGAACTATTCATTTTTTATAATATATGGGACTAATATCCCAAGAGGAAGGGTGTTCCCGTTCAGTTCATATGCACTGGACAGTGCCAGTTGGCACCCATGCAAACTTTATAGTGCAACATTCATAACAAAAGTTCTTTAAGTCAATTTTCTGATATGCTATCAAGTTTTTTCCTTTCTAAATAAATAGCTGTCTGAAAATAAAAAGCAAGTTGTTGGTTAGCATATCTGGATGTTGATTATGGAAAGCCACACTCCTGGATTCCTTCAGCCATGGAGGAATGCAGCTTGCAAAAAGAGGCCACGGTTTAGTGACCTTTAATTGAGGACTTCAGGTCTGTATAAGTTGAGTAGGGCAGCTGAACATGCATTTTTGCCATGAAAATAAATGTCACATGTTCCTGATTCCTTTTGCACCTACGACCTTATGTCACTAGAAGGAAAAAATAGTATTTCATTTTATAATGTTTTCTGGTTTTGTGTTTGTTTGAGTGCTCCTTGAGACATGGGGTTTATTTTTGTCTTGTTCCCAGAGAGAGACATCTTTTCCCAGTAGGCATATCTCGAGAGGTGTGGTTTTTCCCTTTCATACTTTGAACTTCCAAGTAACTGGTGAGATTGCTTTGTTGTTGCCAATCTGATTGACTTACCCACCAGCAACATCTAGCTTTCGTTATGAGATCAATACTGAGTGAGATTAATTAGATGTTGACAAGTAAGGAACAGCAAAGATGGAGACTATTTAAAGAGGAATGAGTTAATAACAAGAGTATGCCTGCTGCTCTTTTGTCCACCACATTGAGCTATCTGCTTGTGATTATTTCAGGCAAGAAGCCAGAGCCATGGCTTAAAAGAGCATAGTCAGCTCTGAAACTGCACGAGGGCTGGTGGAACTAATAATTACTTGCATAGGTTATATTAAAGCGGTACAGAGAAGACTAACTTTTCTATCAATTTGTTAGCATTGCAGATTTTATAAAATGCTCACATTTGGGATGAAGTTTAGAAGGAAACCTGGAATCTGTTAAAAAGTCTGATGTCATTTTTTGAAAGCGTGTGGGTCGTAGGCCCTTCTTTTACTGACCGAATCCTTGATTGGTGTAACTTCTTTTGCCTGCAATGCTTGTAATTTTGTTTCTGAAGCTTCTTTGGGAAGTACTGACTGATTCTTTCCTTACTGGAATAACTTTTTTCAATAAATTGACACGATGTGACATAAAATAGACATCAATATAAATGAAAGAAAGCTGAAGCCCACCAATTATTTTTTTTCCCTTAATGCTGAGGTTTATGTAGTATAGTGAAGAGCTACCATGATTCAGCTTTGGGAGCATTGACATAATCCCCGTGTGCCATTAATTATCATTGTTATTGATGAATTCGCATGGATTCAGTTCAGATCTTTGCATATTTTGTAATGTGCTAAATTACTATTGATCCGTCTTGTTTGCAGATTGATTTTGAATGGGGTGGAAAACAGGTAATAGCTTGTTACACATTTCTTTTCTGGATCCTTTGTAATGGTAACCAGAGACTGGAGAAAAGATGTGATGGAAGAGAAGTTATGGGTAAAAATGCTACCTATATATATATATATATGTATAGTGATTTGTCTTTCTTCTGCCTTTTGTGAAGAAGTAAAGATATTTAAAAACTGAAACACAAGCAATTACAGGATTGGCTTCGGCTTGCCCTTTAGAGGTGCAAAGAGGGGAACAATTTGATAATATCTTGAGCATGATAAAATATTTCACAAGGAGAATTTCTGAACTTTCAGAAGTGCATACTTTCACAATGTGTCCTTTTTTTTTGTACTTACGTAATGACTTATTAATCGGTTGAATTACAGTGCTTTTGTTTCTTACCTAATAACAATAATTATATTTTCAAGTATTAGAAATATTTCTGGAGGTTTTTATTTCTTAGTTCTTCATCAAGGGAATTTGATGTTTGTTATATCCTTATCAGTAGGAACTAACTGGTAATAATGAGATTGAATATTCCAAGAGAAATTCCAAATAGCAGGATGCACATTGCTGAGCTCTGGGTATTTGAAAGTAGTCTGGCTTTTACAGTGAGGAAAAAAACTTCCAATTCCATGCCAATACTAGGCCTTTCTTTATAATAAGGAGAGGAAATCATGGTGAGAGGATAAATGGATGGTTAGTTGTGTGAAGTCAGCAGCAAGGCATTTCTCTTTCCTTTAACCTTGCAATGGTTCCACACTCAGTAGACTAACCGTATTTGCCTGATAAATGCCACCAAACCTTTTCTTATCCTAGGTGAATTGGACAGTAAAGCAGAGTGCAAACCTTTAGGAAGGCTGTAGATTCAAAACCCTGACAGCTAGAGGAGCAGAAGGAAACCCATGACCTGAAGACCCCTGATGGCTGAATTTGCAACAGCATCTGCTCAAGCCATAATGAACTGAACAAATTCAACAGCAGGGGTTCTGAAGTCATTCACTTCTGGAGTTAAATATATCAGATACACAATACCAGCATGCTTTTCAGTTAAGTTGTGGATTGTTCTATGCTTTATAACCTTCTCCCCTGCTGGCTAGCTATTGGATATGGAAATGGATCGTTTTTTTAACAATTAAATGTATTTTCCATACCCTACTGCAACTGGCCTTTGATAGGAAATGAAGCTGCAAAGTGATGATTATGAGAGACATCTTTCTCAGTTCAGTTAAATTATGAGGAACATTAGGACCAGGTGAAATAGAGTAGCTTCCCCCACTGATTAGCCAAAGGATGTCTGGGACATTAACCTTTATAAATTATGGTGACCTTTCTTAGAGGGAGAATAACTAGATTAAGGAGAAAAGGGATGTGCAAGGAGAAGGAACTAAAATTTCTGGTATATGTTGTTGTTTAACTGATGTGTCTCTCTGCAAATGAAATCCCAGCATTGAAAAATGGTATCTTGAGTATGTTTACAAGGGGAAAGTATTAAACAAGTGGCTGTAAAGGATCCTTTCTTTTTCTTCCCCCTTCTGCCAAGCCTCAGAAGAAGAAGGAGGAAAACCATTCCAGTGTCCTATCTGTGGTTTGGTTATCAAGAGGAAAAGTTACTGGAAACGGCACATGGTGATTCATACAGGTTTGAAAAGTCATCAGTGTCCACTCTGTCCATTTCGCTGTGCACGCAAGGACAATCTCAAATCACACATGAAGGTAAGGGAAACGCTTACTGACAATCAGAACACTTCATTCATCAATCAGAAAATGACAGGGTAACACACCTATATAATTCACATTTGTAAGAACAAAATTTCCCTAGTTGTGCTACTAATTATGCCTTTTTAAAATAGAGACCATAAAAAGCAAAATAAATAACTTTTTTTTTCCCCCCTTTGTTTGCCTTTCCATTTTATGCAATGTGGAAACGGCCTGGGTTATGTCAACTCGGTGCAACACAAGCTGTGACTGATTCAGTTCTGGGCCTGGAACTACCAGAAGCAGGGATGTTAGCAGAGGTGTGACAGCATGTAAATAAAGCAGAGCTGCTTTTCAGGATGGCAGATAGTATCTCTACATGTCATTGCATCACACTAAATGGGCCTACCAACTTGGCCAGCACTAGCAGGGGATCTCTCCATTCCTTTCTACAGACAGGCCTGCAGTTTTAACTTTTCTTGCTGTAGTTCCTAACTGCAGGCACTTTCACAGTGAAGCCTCCAAACCAAAGTGAATGACAGATTATACTGTAACGTTTTGGTTTCAAGTGTTTCCATTGAGTTTTAAGCATGCTTTTAACTCAGCCTAAGTTTTAGGCTCAAACTGAAGATGACCTTTTGAAGGACACATCTGTGTTGGTATGGAAAAATGTAAAAATGTCAAGAAACTCTCTGCTTAGCTGAAATACTACATGGTGGTTGCAAACAAAGTGCCTGGTCTTGCAGGCTGTAGAACATGCTTGGTGAAGTAAAAATGGTACCTGTCCCATTATCCCATGGATGAAGAAGCTGAAGTGCAAAATTTTTCGTTGTTAAAGCAGTTGAGTTTTATAATAACAGTGAAATATCTTATTATAGTTAGTATCTTGTCTATTTTAGACAATTGTATTTTACAGAGTAGCAGGCTGGTGTGGAGGCGACAGAAATGCCTGTTCAGGTTTTGTATGTGCTATTGCAGGAGTCTAACCTTGCTTACACCCAGGTAACTATTCACTTCAGTCTAAATGATTCAGATGGTTCCACTGATCATGACAGCAGATCTTGCTGTATTTCACACCTTTGCTAGGTCTGAAATCATCCCCCTAGAGCCTGAAGGCTCATCTCTTAACTCTCCTACTGTGGATCAGTGCACTATTCCCAGGCATCACTGGTGTATCATGCTAATCCTTAACAGGTACAGGTAGGTTTGGTGTTTATGGCTCTTTTAGGGTGTGCTGTTCCATGTTGACTAGAGGGCACAGATGGCTGTCCAGAGCAGCAGGTGAGTAGAAAGAGTAGGGACTCAGCATGGGAAGATGGGTTTTTTGGATCTGGTTGGTGGCAGCCTGCACAGCAGCATGCATCACCTAAGAGCTTGCTTGGTCCTGACAAAGACCTGTTGTTGTTTTCCCCTGCTTTGTAAAGGACATTCCTGTTATGCCCTGCAGAAATTCTTATTCTCTGGGTTTTTTTTTTCCTTTTTGGAATTACTATTTGTGGGTCGAGAGCCTGTCCCTTCATTTTTGGCATGCTGATTTCCACAGGTGGAAATCATAGTAGGTAGGATGTTGGGAAAAAATGAAGGACTTGTTCATAGTCTCTGTGTGCATCAAATTGATGGCTGTTTGAAGCCCTTACGCTCTTTTCTGCTCCCCACCTGACATAAATCCCTGTCACCTCCCGCGGCGGGGCGGGTCCCCTCCGGCGTGTGTGGGTGTGTGTGTGGGTGTGTGTGTGGGTGGGGGTGTGTGGGTGG